GCTGCTGAAATGGGCTTTCTTAGACGAGTCGCTGGCCTTACGCGTCTCGACAAAGTCCGGAACAGTGACATCCGGAAGAGCCTTGGAATACAGGCTTTGCTTCTCCAGATTGAGAAGTTACAGCTGCAATGGCTTGGGCATGTTTTTTGAATGCCTCCGGAAAGGAAGGCTAACCAACTGTTCCTTGCAAATTGCACCGGCAGAAGGCCCAGGGGACGGCCAAGATTAACCTGGTGGAGACATGTGAAAGGAATCTGTTCCAGACTACGTTTGTCTTTTGCCGAAGCTCAGACTCTGGCACAGGATCGGGAACGTTGGAAGCACTGTCTGACGCGTATGCCTCCGCGACCCTAGAAGAGAAGCGGCGATGGAAGATGATGAAGATGAAGATAATGAATTACCTACAACTATTCAGGTGACTCGTGAAGTGCGGTCTAAGCCCCTGAATGACGATTGAGAAAAATGGCCGTGCAACTGAAGAAACTCAAAGCATTCATTTGCTTGATGGAGACTGTTGTTCCTCTGTCTATTGATAGTGCATGTAGATTAGTCAATCGCAGCCAGCTGAAAAATTCACCCTCATTTTTTATGCGATATATTCGGCTTGTTCTATTCTCTATGACTATGGAGTTAAAATTCTTGGGAAGCTGAGGTTCTAATCAGGTTTTCGTTTCTAGCCTGTTTGACGTTGGCTACGGGGTGCTATGAAGAGGTTAATAGCGGCCACAACGACGAAGGAGTATAATTACATGAACGTGGAGGCATTACTTGAAACGTTTCTGTGTATGATTAATCGCTGCTTATGACACTGTCCACCGATACCTGTTCCACCATGCTACGTTTTCCTTCATTCTATGAGACGCTTCCGAACTGGTCTCGCCAGAAACAGGTGGCTCCTTTATACAGTTTATCCAAGAACGCTTTGAACAGATGAACTTGAAACGTCATCTTGACCGACTGATGGCGAAAGTATGTGTTATTTGAATAACTAGTGCCAGTCAAATTTTTAGAACTATTTTCACGATACCTCACACCTCATGTAAGAATTGGTTCCTAATGAATTGTCGAATTGTAGATTTAATATTGTGAGTCCACTATTCGACTGCATGAAAGGTCATTTAATTTTCTTACGGCCCATGAATATAATAATTTTCTAGAATTGAGAATGAATGAAACAACTGACAAAGGACTACTTTACTATTCATTTGTCTGTTTACCGTCTTTGCATAAACCTTAACTCTGGAAAAGCTGATTTACCTATGCGATGCGAACAGTGGAACTCCCCTAGTTCCCCCAGCTGTCCCGTCCAAATCGAGGAATAAAGCCTCTCTACTGTTTTACAAGAGGTAGACGTAAGTCTCGATCTATGCGGATCTCGCGTATCCCATCGAATGTCAGTGTTCACGTGGAAGGAGCGTTATTAACCTAATATATTGCAAAAGAAGCGAACGTGCTTCAATCAGGCATGGTGTCTCCGTTGTCTCGAGAAAGCTAGAAATAAAGTAGGTAAATATTTTACAAAATAAACGCATGATTCTCTCTGTAGTGATGAACCGCTCTTCTGCTTGGAGTCTAATGAACCTCGCTGTGCATGCATTGATTCGTACTGTATTTGTGTTGTGATCTTCAGGTTCTCTCCTGTCGCATTTTTGCACTCTTCTGTATTTGACTTAAGAGTAGTCTTACATTAAGCGTCGCTAGATCGCGCGGACAAAATAACATCATGAATTTGAAGGCTTACCGCATTGATCGACCCGGAAATGTTAATTCGCACGATGGTGGTATAATGACGTGGATCAGCTCGACATCTTGTGCAAACTGTTCAGATAAGTCTAAGTTGTGTGAATACGCTATACAGTGATTCGTCGTGGATTGCATGCCAACCCCTCTATGGAGGAAACGACTGGCTCGCATTCGAAGTTCCTTGAACCATTTGGTCGATCTCTTAACTGCGGGACTGAAGAATTTGGGAGCATCGTAGCCAGGTGCCTGATAAAAACAGCAGTTGCGCTGGGCTGTCCATTCCCATTCCAGTCGACACGATTCACTCGCCGTAGCTTTGCTTCCAAGGGTACGTTTCGAAGTATCGGCCAGGTACAAGGTTTGTTCACGTCTTTTTGCTGGCGCTGCACTGAAACTTACAGATGATCAGTCGTTCCGCTCTCTATCTGATGTCCTATCGATTCCAAAGAAGAGGAACAATTATTTTAAATCAGACCCTGGTTGGCTGACACCGATCCCCTTTTTCACCGCGTGTCTCATTGTTACGTTTTTGTTCGTTTATTGTACCCAGGCTATGGTAACTTATCGATTGCCTTACTGCTTAAGCAAATTTAACTGACTGACTTAATTGACATGGTTAAAATAAAATTTATAATTTATTTGGCTCAGTTTCTATGTTTATAGATTTTTCTTGAATTTACTGGCAATCAAGACCATTTCAACGTACTTTACAGCCATTCATCATCGTACTTTTCGTGATCACGTGAGAGCAGCAGGAAGAATGGTTGAATAGAAAATATTGAAGAGGCTGTCCGTGACTTTTAATGACTCCCTTTCCAAGTATGCTATGAAAATTATCATTGTCATTATTAATTCTCTCGGAAATTCCAAAACTGAAAATTATTATGATCATGAAACATTCTCTGGGAAATTCGTATTATGCCTTGACTCTCGCAATTTCGTCAAGGTAACACCTTCGTGGTTTTTCTGGCCTCAATAGGAATTTTTTCATCTTTGAGTCGTGCACTGAGTATCACTCACGATAGTCATCTGTGGGGGTTGTCACGGCAAATTGCAGTCATAAGGCACGCTCGCTTCGTCTCTCGCCCATTGTTTAATGACCGTGCCAGAGCACTGTGGTGAGTCTGTTGTACACAAATGAAAGACTTGCTCTCTTTTTCTCGGCTGGTTTCTTCTGAGAACATTGAGAGAATTAGCGGAGCTGTTTCTCTTTCTCAACATCGAAACATGGCACCTCTGGAATTTTAAGTTAACCCCTTACCTTTGTTTCTCAAGCATTCTTTAAATCTGTTTCTTGTTAAGCAATGAATCATTTTTTTTCTAATTTATAACTTCTTAAGTGAAGGTCCTCTTGATAACTTGAGGCATGTCCGGGTGCCATAACACCGAGAATTTTGGTTTTAGAAACTACTCATCTATAAAAATAAAGCATATTATCAAAGTAAGAATCCGTGTCTTCGAAATTTTACAAAAGCACATAAAACGAACAGCTCCTAAAACAAGATTGAGATCGAGCTTAGCATTGCCTTAGTCAAACAATAGCAAGAGATACGCAAAACGAACTGCAGGGGACAAATATAATTG